TTAAAATTTGTGATACTATTAAATTTAAAGCTTAGAAGGTAATTTATTTATTTATTTTAAATAAAATTATTGTAAGATTCCATGTATGTGCAAAATGTATTTTAAAACTCAATTTTGTTCCATTTGCAATTTATTCCAATATTCTATCTATCATACAAGGCCTTTATATATATATATATATATATATATAAATAGTTTTTTTGACCATCATATAGAAATATTTATTTAAAAACGAAAGGCACTCCACAGTCCAAAATGTGTTTACAAATTTAAAATATTGAAAATTGTGTTTACAAATTTAATATCAATAAAACGTTTACTAATTGTACCTTTCTTCATCATTTAATAAGTCAGTCAGGCCAAAAAAAAAGAGAGAGAATTAATTATTTAATTTTTATAATTTTAATTTAATTTTTAAATTTTAACTTGTTATAACTCATTCTTTAAAATTTTAATTCGATTGTAATTCATTTTTTAAATTCTGACTCTTACAATTCAATCTTTATAATTTTAACCATTTAAATATTAATGCCTGTATCTTAAAAATAAAATTATAAAGATTAAAATTATGTTAAAATTTATTATTAATATTTTAAATTATTAAACTTTTTTAATCTTTATAATATCATAAATACTAAAATATTAAAATATTTTTAATATTTTTAATTTTATTTTTTAAAATATAAAAATTAATATTTAAATGGTTGAAACTATAAGGATTAAATTGTAAAAATTAAAATTTCAAAATTAAATTTTAACTGAATCAAAATTTTAGAAACTAAATTATAATTAGTCACAATTTAAAAATTAAATTAAAATTATAAGGGTTAAATAATTTTTTTTTAATTAGCAAGCGAGTCGCGAGAACAGGGGATGATATGACAAAGTAATGAACCAAGAAAATAACAATGTCAAAATCAGACGTAAGATGGAAGCAAAAGGTATGCATGTGATGACGGGGCCCTGTTTCCATTTTATCAAGTAGGAATGAATTTCAACCACACCGCTCTGCGCGTTCACGTTCAGGTTCGCGCGCGCGCATACACAAAGTAATAGCCTGATCAAAGTAAGTGTGCCACACAACTGTAAATGAAATTTCCCGGTCAGGATCAAAAGCTTCAATTACCTGATCCACTCTTCACGGGAATATATGCATCTAAAAAGATAATAACTTTGACTATACCATGTTTTTGTTTCAAGCACATTAATTGATGTAAAGTTTCATATATAGAAATTGAGCCTCCGGGGCCACAGCCACGACGTAATAAATATTAATGTTTATTCATTCACCATCACGCATATTCATAATCTGCTGCACTTTTTCCAAAAAATCTCCAATCGCTAGCTACCGACGTGCTTTTATATATTTGTATATTGAAAAAAGGACGTAGCAATTAGCAAGTGAAGGTACGGAGGGGAAGCAAACTAGGGGAGGGGTTATGTGGTAGCGGTTGAGGCTGGTGACGTTCATCTCCTCCACATCTTTGCAGATGCCAAACGTATCCATTTTATTTACATGGTTAAGTTCAGTTAAAAAAAAAATTAACATGGTTAAGATTATACTCCTCGCAATATTATTTCTTACTAGTTATTAATTCACGTTTTATTAAAAATATTAGTTCAAATTTTATTTTTTAAAAAATATCTATATCTTTATATTTATGCCATTAAATTTTCTGAATAACAAGTGTATATCTTTAAATATGGAGCATTTTAAAAAAATAAGGGTATAAATGATAAAAAAAATATAAAATTTATCCAGTATCATATATTTTAGATCAATGAGTGCTTTTAGAAAGTAACTTATATTATGATTATAAATGAATGGTAGTTAAATTTTTAAAATTTTACTTTTTTTTAAATGATCAATATAAGGTTTATAGTGTTGATGTTTGAAAATGATCATCTAATCACCTCAGAATATTGAAATACTCCGCGGTGAAATTAGAAAAAGTTAAAAATTTAGGTGTGGGCCTCAAGTAGGACCCGCTACTCTAATCACACCCCCCCCCCTCCTTTTTTTCCCAAATCCCCCTAAAGCATCGTGGCTTGTCGAAGATACATATGCACGGTGTTAAATTTGTAAACTATCTTTGGAGGGGGAAAAAAACAGTTAGAAAAAGGCAAGGATAAAATAAGGGCAAATTGTATGTAAGTTTCAAGTAAGAAAATCAATTATCCACGGATTTTAACTATTTGTAAATACAAAAGTTTTTCACATGTAAATATAAAAGTTTTACTCATTGATGGGACTAACAAAATAATTAATTTATATTTGCAATGCCCCCATAAGATAATAGGTTTTGCTTTTATACATATGAATCTCTCATCAGCTGGGCAGCATTTCTAACACCATAAACTATTTTTTTGGGAAGAAAAACATTTACCTCTAACCAAGTCCTTTTTCATAGAAAATGAAAACACACACTTACGCACACACATAAACATATTAATATTAGGTTTAAACTTAGGATTTCCTCTAAAAAAGAGAAGATGCTGTCACTGAGACGTTCAGATGTACAAAAGTGTATAAACGTTGCACAGTTTTAGTGTCGGGTTGGCATGGCCAGAATCTGGCGTTATGTGGGGGAGGTTATAACCTTCCTTGGAGCCATAAATAAATTATTTTGAGGAATGAAAAAGGATATGGTGCGAGAAAGGAAGTTCCAAACTCGGTGGAATTTTTGGCATTTTCCATTACGTTTTCTGTATTTTTTTTTCCCCCTGCCAACAACAACGTTTTCTGTGGCCCACTCATTTCACACCTCCTCACAAGTCAAATAATTTAATAAGATATTATTACCCTGGCCAAGCTAATTAGAGGCGGACAAAAATTTTAACGTTAAGTTTGGGAGATTAAAAGATTTTTTTTTTATTTTGAGGCTTATTTGGCTTGTCCGAATAAACTCAGAATTTCAACTCAAGTCCAAACCAGAATGTGCCTGGCTTAAATACTTGAATTCCTTTTTTTAAAATAAAATTGAATTTCTATAAAAATAAAAAATAAAATAAAATAATATTTAATAATTTAGGGATTTAACTTTGGCTATATAAACATTTTTTATATGTTAAAATATTTTAAATCAAATTTAAAGAAGCCTAACCTAAATAAATTTTTCCTGTCTAAATTACCTGTTCTAGAAGTTATGGCATTGCATTTTTAATTCAATCACCGAGAAATATAAAAATAATTTCATATATCTTATTCATTTATATATAAAACTCACTTGATGTGAAATTTTTAACAATCCACTACGCAATTCATAATTGAACTAGTGATACGAGGATCCGTTTAGTTTGGTGTTGTGTTTATATATATATATATATATATATAAATTGAAGTTTATGTTTAATTCTTTAATTTTATATAAGATTTTATTTTAGTCTTTAAATTAGTTCTTTAACCTTTAATATTGTTAGTTTTATTCCAACAAATCTTTATATTGAATTTTTAAATATTCACAAAATATTTTTAAATGTTGACATATTAAATTTAATTTTTTTAAAATAATAATGATTGACACAAAAAAAATTATTTAAAATTAACAGTGTTAAGATTCAAAGACTAAAAAAATATTTTATAAAATTAAAAGATTAAATTAAAATTTTATATAAAGTTAGAGGATTAAAATTATACTTTAACCTATATATTTAATTATTTACGACATGCTATGAAAAGGCGAGGAAATTTCTGGCTTAATTATTGAGGAATATTATTGAACACGATCATCTCTTTTTTTAAGTAAGAGTTGTACAAACTTAATCTTTCATTACCTTAAGCATGGGCTTTGAACAATTCCTTCCTTTTGCTTCTTATTAAAAACGATATTCAAATCACTTTATTATATTGTCCTGGAATTAAGGCATTGTAAGAAACTTGAAATCAATCTTTAATTGTGGTAGCCCTGTCGTGTCTAGGTGGTGCGTGGTTGGCAGTGGGAAACGATAACACTAACAAATTAATAATAATAATAAAAAAATAGCCTTGAACCTGTCTGCAAAACTGTTGGAGATGATGGATCTATTAAAGATTTAAAATAGCAGCAAAACATTTCTTTTGATTCATCAAGTGGCAAGCAATAGCTTTTGGTGAACGAAAAATGAGAACAGATTCCAGAAAGGTGGGGCTTACGGATAGCTTTGTGTGTATTCAAGCAAATGTCAATAGCAACAAATTTATTTGGCCATGGAAGGAAGCAATGCGTGCTTCACAGAGCAACCTGATTGGGTAGATTACAAGTTGACATCTCAATTTGCAAGTATTAGATGTACATCGCATTTGTGGTGTCTCTCGAGCCATACTTGCACTGAAATGTTGACGTCTACATTTTCTGTTACTCTCAACAAAGGCAATCCGAGCAACTAGACACCTATCAACATTTTTAAGCCTTTTGTTTTTTTGTTTTCTATTTTGCCCTTTTATCTGCAATAACTGTACGTTTTTCTTTTCACGCTATGAAATTTAAAAATGACTATTCTGTTTATAACTTATTTAAAATACAAATTGTTATTCTTCATTTTACATCAATATTAATTTTAATATTCAAAACTATTAACTTTCTAGGTAAAGAAGGTGTAAGAACAACGATTGAGGACAGCGCAACTTCTAAGGTGGTTCACTCTTTTTCAATAGATATTTAGAAAAACATAATCATGATTTCTCAGTTTTATCAGATTTTACTTTTGCTCCTTAGTTTCCTTATAGAAACTAAATCTACACTGAAACTATAAGAATCTAAATAGCAAATGTCTCCAAATCCCGCTAAACTATAAGGACTGAAAATATTAAAAAAAATGAAAGGACCAAAAACAAAACTTAATAAAATTATAGGGACAGATGAAATCAAAATTTGTCATGGGCTTGAGAACACGGCTTTACAATCCACGATTAAGACTGAATTGAGACAAAAGTGAAGCTTGTATCATATTCTAGATTCTAGCGTAACATAAATCTTGAAGGTTTTATGTGAACTTCAAATTCAAAATTAAAAATAGATTGCTTTCAGAATAATTTGATGTCTTGAAGATAGAACAAGTGCCAAAATAATAATAATGTCGATGGGTTGACGTATAACAAATGTCCCAAAGGCCAAAACTATAAAGCAAAAATAAAATAGAGCGAGAACCTCAAAACTCGCCAGCTCTGTCCCGATCCCTAAAACAGGATTTCTAATTGCCGGTGTCCTGTTCCAATTCTTTCGGCGCCTTCAAAGGTACGTGAATGATAACAATAACGTAAAAAAAGACAACGTATTACTACTTCTCTTCCCTGCCTTTCAGACAGCTAAAACATCATCAGCTGGCAAAAAATAGCGGCATTTTAAGAAACATAACGCCTGATCGGTTGGTTGGTCCTATTTTTGTTTTTGTTTTTCATGTTTTCAGGTAAGAAATTTTCTATTTTCTAACAAAACATAATAATACAACTAATTGAACATGCGACCAACATTATCTATATCCGCCGGCAATTCTGCTCTCATTGACAAATTGATAGTAGTCTTCCTCCCCGTAGAGTCGCCTGAAACGTCAGAAACACACATATTACATATTTAGAAAGACCTCGATTACCAATTTGTGCGCGCATGTGTAGACCTCTACACACGGATCAGTACAAGATTCAACACTATTACAATTTACGACCTAATGACTTGTGTCTTGCTGGTGAAACTTTTCACTTTCACTCGCCAGCCCACGAGTTGGATTCGGTAGTCATAGTTGGCAATAATCCCAAAAATGAAACACATTTTCCTAGTAATGGGATTACCAATGGAAGAGAAAACTCAGTCGTAATAAAATGTTTGGGATTACTAATGGATCAAGGGTTGTAATTTGAAAATTTTTGTCTGTAATCACGTCTATATGCAAGGTTTACACTGAATGGACGCATAAGGAGAGATAAAGAATCAAGAAATATTCAGTGATCGATCCAATTTAACCTGGTTCTGATTTGAGCAGATTCATGATCTTCACAAGTATACTACCAATCACGAATGCTTATTCAATTTGTATCAACTTAACTATTCCGTGTATAAGGCCTTGTTTCGTTTCAAAACAGATATAGATTATTTACACAAGTCTAACATGCAATATGAGGATCCTCCTCACATCGGACAAAAAAATGACGGTTATTTTGAGCAAATTCTAACTTTTCAGTTGATATGAACAAACTACATCTCCTGAGAATAAACCTTTAGTCGAGAAGAAATTTAATTTCATCCAGATAGACTGAACAAGACCATTTGCTCAAATTAAGTTATTTCCTACAAGAGGTTCTGAACTCAACCTGGCCAACCGCACGCAAACATGCTTCTACTGAATGTGTGAAAAATTTACCCGCAAATTTGGCAGCGTCTACGATATATACTAACAAGCATGAGCTGACTAGAAAATTGACTTACGCTAGATCTGCCAGGGATTCTGATTTGATCACAGCCTTCCCCTCTGGGAGCTCTAGGCAAGAATAATGCATTATTATTTCCTTTAATGTATGCTTGGTGCTTTTGATATCATTGTCCCATAAGATGCACTGAAATTAAAAGCAGAAGGCAGTAGCATTAGTACCAAAACAGACACAATCTAATGCACTTGAAACCATTCCCTATATAATGAGAACGAGCAGGAGCAGTAAACAACAACAAGCCTTATCCCACTAGCCGGGGTCAGCTACATGAATTATATAATGCTATTCTGTTCTATCATTTGTTAAGCTTTTAGAAATATTGTTAATTAAAAAGTCTCGACTAACAACTTCTAAAAATGTTCTCTTTAACCTTTCTCTACCCTTTCTTTATAGAGTTCAAAGTTACCTGTTTTACTCTTCTCACAGGTGCATCTTATGATCTTTTTTATACATGTCCAAACCACCTCAAACAATTTTATACCAGTTTTCTTTTAATAGATGCAACGCCCAATTTATCCTGTATGGACTCATTTTTGATTTTGTCTTTAAATGTATGTTCGCACATCCATCTCAATATTTTCATCTCTATTATTTTAACTTTATAACTCCGCCTATGTTTATAGCCGGTCCCAAGCCCGGGTAAAGGAGGAGGGTTGCGTTAGGCCATCAACAGCCAATGTAAAAATTTGTTGAATCTATCATGAACATGGACAATAGACGTTATAATGTTAATGCTAGGTCGTTGCCCGTAAGTAACGCGCTGCATGGCTCGAGTACAGTGATAAGTGAGTTAGAGCCGCTGCATCGGCGCCCGGATGTAGTGTTAAATGAGCAAGGGCTACCGCGTCATTCTGGACGCACGCGGCTAAAGAAGTTAGTCCATAAGAGCAAAATTAGATTTGGTACTTGGAATGTCGGGACATTAAATTGTAAATCTGTAGAGGTTGTAGGGGTTATGATTCAAAGGAAAATCAATATCCTTTGCTTGCAAGAAACAAAATGGCGTGGAGAAGAAGCTAAGGATATTCAAGGTTTCAAACTTTGGTATACAGGAAAAGTAAGTGCACGCAATGGAGTAGGCATCATTATAGATAAGGAGTGGAAGAAGAACGTTGTAGAAGTTAGCAGAATTGGAGACAGAATTATTTCTTTAAAAATGATAATTGGACGTGAGACTGTTAATATTGTTAGCGCTTATGCGCCGCAAGTCGGGATAGAAGCCAGTCTTAAGGAATTATTTTGGGAGGATCTGGAGGGGTTGATTCGACACATACCACAGAGTGAAAAGATTTTTATTGGAGGAGACTTTAATGGGCATGTCGGGAGGGAAGCTGGTCAGTATGCGAGGGTGCATGGTGGTTTTGGTTTTGGAGAGCTAAACAATGAAGGGCAAACTCTTCTTGATTTCTCATTGGCGTATGATTTTAAGATTGCCAACACTTGTTTCAAGAAGAGAGATGAGCATCTCATCACCTACAAAAGTGGAGCCTCAAGGTCGCAGATTGATTTTCTTTTGGTTAGGAACACAGATAGAAAACTTTGTAAAAATTGTAAGGTGATCCCTGGAGATGCTGTAACGACACAACATAGGGTCCTAGTCCTTGATGTGTGTATTATGAGTAAAATCCAAAAACGTCGACAAGTAGTAACACCAAGGATTAGGTGGTGGCAATTAAAAGGTGAGAAGCAAGATATTTTCAAGCGAAATCTTTTGGATAAAGGAATTTGGGATTCTCAGGGAAGTGCTAACATCATATGGGAGGATATGGCTAAAAAGATACGGGAGGTTGCAAAAGTAGTTTTGGGAGAATCGAAAGGTCCTGGTCCGAGAGATAAGGAGTCTTGGTGGTGGAATAATAGTGTACAGGACAAAATCAAGTATAAGAAGAACTGTTTTAAAGCCATACATTTGTGTAACAATGAGGAAAATTGGGAGAGATACCGTATGGCTAAGAAGGAAACTAAGAGAGCTGTGGGTGAAGCTCGTTCTAAAGCTTTTGAAGAATTTTATAAGAACCTTGAGACGAAGGAAGGAGAGCAAAATATTTATAAGATTGCCAAGAGTAGGGAAAGAAAATCAAGAGATCTAGAACAGGTAAGGTGTATTAAGGATGAAGAGGAAAGAATTTTAGTTACAGATGATGAAATTAAAAATAGATGGGAGACTTATTTTTCTAAACTTTTCAATGATGGAGAGGATTCATCTAGTAACTTGGAGGATTTAGTAACTGGTGAAGGAGAACAAAATTTGTCATTCTATCGAAAAATACGTGATAAGGAGGTAAAGGAAGCTCTTAAGAAAATGGCAAATGATAGAGCTAACGGACCTGATTGTATATCTATCGAAGCGTGGAAATGTTTAGGTGAAGAAGGGGTGAGATGGTTAACTAAGTTATTTAATGTGATTTTACGGTCCAAGAAAATGCCTGATGAGTGGAGGAGAAGTACATTAATTCCTATTTATAAAAATAAAGGAGATATTCAGAATTGTACTAACTATAGAGGGATTAAACTCATGAGCCACACAATGAAATTGTGGGAGAAAGTAATTGAGCACAGGTTGAGATTGGAGACAAGTATTTCTGAGAATCAATTTGGTTTTATGCCAGGTAGATCAACTACAGAGGCGATTTATCTACTAAGGGGATTAATGGAAAAGTATCGTTGTAAAAATAAAGATCTACACATGGTTTTTATTGATTTGGAAAAAGCTTATGACCGTATACCAAGAGAAGTGCTTTGGAAAGCGTTGGAAAAAAAGGGAGTACGGATTGCTTATATTAAAGCCATACAAGATATGTATGAGGGGGTAAAAACTAGTATAAGAACGCCTAGTGGTCAAACAAAGGATTTTCCTATAAAGATTGGGCTACATCAGGGATCATCTCTGAGTCCTTATTTGTTCAACTTGATTTTAAATGTTTTGACGGAACATATTCAAGAGGAAATCCCGAAATGTATGCTCTTCACGGATGATATAGTTCTTATAGCAGAGACAAGAGAAGAGGTTAATTGCAAACTTGAGTTATGGAGGAGGACATTGGAGTCGAAAGGTTTTCGTCTGAGTAGAAGTAAGACGGAATATTTATATTGTAAATTTGATAAAGGACTATTTGAAAATAATTTGGAAGTGAAATTGGGAGATCAAATTATACCTCAAGTGGAAAAGTTTAGATATTTGGGAGCCATTATCCAAAATGATGGCGAAATCAGTGGAGATATTTCACATAGAATTCAAGCTGGGTGGTTTAATTGGAGAAAAGCTAAAGGAGTTATTTGTGACCGTAAGGTGCCTAATAAACTTAAAGGAAAGTTTTATCGTACTGCTATCAGACCGGCAATGTTATATAGTAGTGAATGCTGGACTCTAACGGGACAGCAAGAGCATAAAGTTGGAGTAGCAGAGATGAGAATGTTACGATGGATGTGCGGACATACACGTAAAGATAAAATTCGAAATGAGCACATACGTGAAAAAGTGAGGGTGGCACCTATTGAGGAAAAAATGGTAGAAAATCGGTTGAGATGGTTTGGGCATGTACAAAGAAGACCAAGGGAGGCACCAGTGAGAAGAGTGGAACATATAACTTTGAGTCCGATTAAGAGAGGTAGAGGAAGGCCTAAGAGAACACTCTTGGAAGTTGTTGAACGTGATCTCTTAATTAATAATATTTCTAAAAGCTTAATAAATGATAGAGCACAATGGCGTCTTGCAATCCATGTAGCCGACCCCACCTAGTGGGATAAAGGCTTGTTGTTGTTGTTGTTGTTGTATTATTTTAACTTTATGCTCTTGCAGTAAATTTACATTTAATTAATGTACAAGCGTACAACAAATTATATGAAAAATAATACCTTCCTAATATATTCTCTTTTCAGTTCTCCACAAGAAACTTTTCCTTTAGGTGAAAATACTGAAGCATTCCAGAGTGCCCCTCTGGCAACCATCATGGACGATGCACCTTCAGCCAACCAGACTTACTTAAAAAAAAATATGTAAAATAGCAACATAGCCAACGTAATATGATCGAATAGAAACACAAATGTGATAAGAATTAATATCAGAAGTCAGAAGAGGCAATAAAAAACTTGTAAAATGCGATAGAAATATACTACCATGGCAAATAGTGCCTGAAGCTGATAAAATCTGTTCACCTTAAGATTCTATGATAATCAAATGCCTATTAAGCCTAACTTTCTATAAAGGCTGAGTCAGAACCAAAAGTGTAAAAACCCAGTAGAAGGTAGGGGACAGGGGATACTTTGCCAAGAAATTAAAGGTAACACCATAACAGTCATAGCAGAAGAAATTTTGGTTATTTATCACAAGTCACATGGAACCGTATACATTTTTCGTTTTTAATTATAAGGAACACCATGACTTAGGTTTTTGTATATCCAGTAGCAAGGTATCTCTCAAGATAGGAACCCACAAAAAGCTAGGAAACTCCAAACACTAAATTAGTAGAAATTACCAATAATCACTAATCTATAATCCCAGGGTATCCTTAAAACCGATTATAATAATAGGCATAAGTCCAGAAGTATAATTACAATAACATGCTAATTATGATCATAAAATTAATATGCATTATTATTGTGTACATCATTGAGTTGCTTATATAAAATCTCCAACAAGGAATCAATCAAATCAAACTTCTTGCTGCATCCTATGTTTACAGAGGCATCATTTATTGCAAAGACAAAATTAAGTTCAATCTCAAATCCCAGACACATTTTAGAGAAATAACTGTCCATTCAAATTTAATTGTGTCTCACTGTGCAGCATCCTACAATTCAAGCAAAACATAACTGAAATAAATCTTCAAAAGGAATTTTCATTTTCCAGCTACCTGTAGCAGATTTAATGCGTTGAAAATCATTGTACTCAAAGACATCTCCATTTGCTATGACAGGAATGGATAGTGCTGATACAACGTCAGCAATTTCGCTCCACTTAGCAGGATCTCTGGGCCTATCTGGGACTCTCCTGTAAAATAAATTAAGAGTTACAGGAAGCATGATTTGATGAAGCAATGGTATAGGAGTTATTTTATTCCATTTATTCAATTCTGTCATGCTGTGGGGTTAACTGTGCTTGTGGCACATGAATAATGTTTTTTCCCCTTAAAAGTTTTTAAGGCACAAAACTGGAGCTGCTGGTCGAGAGTCATGGAATCGTTGGATTTCATGCACAGCAAATGTTACTGAAATATTTGGCAAGTTACTTTCTTAATCAGTCAATCTAGGTGTTGCTAATAAACAGGAACAATATCTGTCAGTGGAAACAGCAAATTACATGAGGAATGAAAAGATGGTCAAAGAAAAAGGAATCTTTCCTAAAGTCTAGATGACCCAGTACAGAAGGGGAAGAGCCAATAAACATAGCCATGTCACAGTGACCATTTTCCGAAGCATTATAAACACACATCTGTGAATACAGCATCTATCTTTTGGTGGCAACTCCGTTGAATTTGTTTTGTTTTGAATATCCCATTTTCTTTTGAAAACTTCGCGTTGAGCATCACATTTTGGAATGGAACAACATCCATCTTTTGTTGACTAGAACAATCAACATCTAAAGAAATACACTTTTATCTAATCCCCTTCTTTTATTCCACTTACAAAATGCCAAGAAATACCTATAATACAAACAGGAAATCATTGATCATCTCCAAACAGAACAATGTGAAAGTAATACTACTTTGGCTGTTACCCAAGCAGGCACCACAGTAAAGAAAGAACAGACTGTAGTTTCCACAAAACTTAACCACAAAAAAAAAAAAAAAAAGATCACAGCAACTGAAAATTACCTTCCATGGACAGCAAGTGCTGAAACACCAGTTTTCTCAATTCGCCTTGCTAATTCCACCGTGTCATTAGATGACTTTAGAAGTCGAATCTTACATGTCACAGGAATGCTCAAGTTCCGCTTCAGTGTTGTTAAAATCTGGATATTTTAAGAGGAAAGGATTAAGAATTAAGCAAATATTATCTAATGCGCATTCAGAAAAAATCACAGATTATAAGGCTTACATCATGAATAACTTCTGGTTTAGTCAACAAAGCAGCACCCATTCCCCCACTGACAGAAAATGACTTAGGGCAACCCATGTTGATATCTATTGCAGCAACATCATCACACCTGAGGCCCCATCCCAAACCCCAAATGTGTTCAAGGTAAAATGTCAACAGCCCTAGGTTGTTACTTAGAGTTAAATTGACAAAAAAAAAAAAACAGCTAAAATAAAACGCTACAGATCAAAAAGAAATGAAATGAAATGTAAAATTGAACAACTAATAATAATTAGTACTTCAAAAGGTAAGAAAAATATTAACGTCAATATGAAGCTTACACTAACTGAGCAGCTGTTAGGGCCCTCACAGCATCAGATGTTCCTAATTGACATACAACCCTGTTCTTCTCTTCATTGCAGGTTCTGAAAACAACACTCTGTGTTCCTTTCTCCACAAAATCAGTGGATCCAATGAGTTCTAAACAAGGAGATCATGCCCTTATTAGATTAGCAAAAATGGATTGGAATGGGGAAAAGAAAGACAAATGAATGATTAGATGTTTTCAAAGCCTCTAGTCAGTCACTTTCTAGCCACTATAATAAATAAAAACATGAGAACCTTTCTCTTTCTTTCTTAACAAAAGACTGTTTAATGAAAAGGAGGAAGGAAAGAAGCAAAATAAGAAAGACAAGTGTTAAGAGCATGAGTTTAAAGGAAAAACCCATATCAAAAGACTAGCCTATTGAGCAAGAAACTCTCACACACTTATGAACCCCACGCAATTTGTAAGGCTTGATAATGCCATCCCATTCAAGAACTAATGTCCCTGGAGGCTCCATTCCACAATACTTTACTCAGCCTCCTACCGGTTAAAACCCTTTGTTGGTTGTCCTTTCCATGACAATAGCCTCTCAATGAAAACACCATTTGTCATGAATACAAGTCCAAAAGGAGAGCCCTGTTAGATGGGAAAGCCTCTCAAATTTATAAATCTCACTCAACTTGTGAGGTTCCACAATGTCGGACTCATGACAACAAGAAATCCACAAATGCAAAAGACGCATCTTCTATGTGAAACAATATATGTGGCTAAATTCAAAGAATGGTGAAACAAATGAAATAACTTTTTCCCCTTATCTTAAAAGATATAGCAGAAATCACCAAAATGAACAGAATTTCAAACACATTGACAAGAATGCAGCAGGATAAGCCCTAGTGGTGTGAAATACTTGCATCATCATGATGTTTCATAACTAGAAAAATAATTTAGAAAACTTACTAAAACCATAAGCTTATTTTACAAGTTAAGCAAATGTAAGAAGTGCCTGGTTATATTCATCCAAGTTGAAAACCCTTACCATACACTATGTCCGACAGGATCTTTTCTTATTGTTTTTTCTTCTCACGCTGAGCTCTTGTCATACCAAATCAATTTAGAGCTTCTCTTGCATATCACTCTCTTTCAACGCGTTAATTTTACTCTCTGTGGAGTTCTCAGATCCAAATATAATTTTGGGTTGCTGATGTAGTCATCAACTCATAACCATGACCGTCCATCAATACCAATAAGCCATCTCAACAGATGACGAGCATGAATAGCCTTCCAATAACAAAGAACACTAATCCCACATTCCCAGGGTAAAATTTGAATAGTTGATCAACTCAGTTTCTTATCGTCAAGAAGAAAGGCAGTTCAATTGTGTTTCTACCTACAATGCAGAGACAGTCAGACACTTGAAAAAGAGCCACGTCCAAACAATTGACATGATGCAACCCTGTGAGTAGAGGTGGAGCCGAGATTAAAGAACGAGGGGACCGAGATTAAAAGGCACATATAATACAAAGTTCAGATATATCTTGGGGGGTTCAAAATACATAAACCTATACAATTTTAAGGGGGAAAAAAAATTAAAAACTCAAGGAGCAATTGCACCCGCCTGTCCCCCCCTCTCAGCCCGAGTATGAGACTTTAGAGTCAAACTATAAATAATTATAAACAGGTCATATTTTGTCGTGTTTCCATGTCAGCATGACTGTTTATACTTCATAGGTAGGTAACCATACTTAGAAGAAGCAAAACATGGTATGAAGAGCTTTATACCAAAAAAAAAGGATATGAAAAGCTAATGACAAGCAAGAACAAGTAGTGTCTCGAACTTACGGTAACTGCAACTGAATTGCTACACAACTAATACATCAGAAACTAAAATCAGAAACTTGATGTCATGCAGAAGAAACACGAATTTAATGATGATAGCAAGAACTGCACCATTGAGTCGGCGCTCGCACTTGACAAGCTTGTGATCAATAATTTCCTCGCCGTAAGTAATATCTGCACCATATTGAGCAGCTAGTAATCTAAATGGCAGAGTGCCCTACAAAAAAATAGTTAAGAAGATACGGATAGTGAACAAAATATGCATTTATTTCCTCCATTACATTCCTCAATTTTTTGTCGGCAACTAAGTGGGAAGAGGAGGGAAAAGGAAAACTTACAACCCGAACCATAGGAGCAAGTACGAGTTTGTTCTCGTACTCCATCTTCGGTGGGTGCCTTGAGCCCTTGACCAGCCCAGACTTGGGCGTCCGGCTTCCCAAAGACCTCTATTCCGAGGGAAACGGAGAAACGAAGCAAAAATCAAAATAACTTTCTTTTTGTATTTTTTTTTTAAACTCTTTTCCCACTTTAGTTTTTGGGCCATATTTTCCCAATTGCTTGTGGTCCTAGGCTATGCTCAACTGCTCAACGAGGAATTTCAGAGACCAGAAAAAACCCACCCCTCCCCCCCCGGGGCGGCTCGCGGGTCCGTCTTCGGGGCTCAGCAAAGTGCTCATCCATGAAAATAAATCTGAGCCATCCAGATTTTGCTGAACAGCGAGGTGCTCATCTATAAAAATAAATCTGATCCATTTAAATTAAATTTGGATGGCCCAAATTTTTTTAATTTAAATTTAAATTTATATTTATTAAAATAAAAATTTATAATTTTTTATAAATAAGTTCATTATCAATCTGAATAGTATTGATTTAATTTAGGTGGCACTACTACAGAAAGATGTATAATTGACGCCCTATAATTGACGTTTATTAAAAAAAACGACAAATAAAAAAGGCGGAGAATACTTGACGGTTTCTACGAAACAAGCGTCAAATATTTAAGTAAATACTTGACGGTTATTTAAAGATAACCGTCAAGTATATATATTTGACATTTTTTATAAATAACCGTCATATAAAGCAAAAATTTACACGTCGGTCTTCAATAAACAAACGTCAAATTAATAGTAGAAAAAAAAATTAAATTTTTTCACATACTTGACGCTTGTTTTGAAATAACCGTCAAGTTTGTCTGCCATATATTTGACGGTTATTTTAAAACAAGCGTCAAATATGTAATACTTGACGGTTATTTCAAAATAACCGTCAAGTATTGACATTTAAATTTCCTCCAGATTTCTTTTTCGCTCTCCATTTCTGCAAATCCTTCATCTTCAGAAACAAACCCAGAGCCACCGAAACCCATTTTTCGTCACTCTAACTGCCAAAAAACACGTTTTCGGTCTCGATTCTTGAGGGGTTTTTGATTCTCGGCCTCTATAAGTCTCGTGGGCACTCGTTCGTTGGGATTCTCGGTCTCTATCACTCTGCATCAGACTCTCGTCTCTGTTTTTCTGCACAGTCGGTGTTCCCTCTTCTTGTTGAGGTAGGTTCTTGTTTTCCCAATCATTAATCTTCATTTTAAATGTATGGGTTGTTGATTTTGATTTTCATACATAATAAACAATTTTTTGTGTTATTTATTTTGATCTGCATTGTTGTTCTTCTCAGTGAGTGTTTGAAGTTTTGAGTTTTTGGGTACTTAATTATTGAATTAAGGGATCATCCAATTTTTTTGTTGATATGAGGAGATTCATTAAGGATATGAAAATAGTATACCACCTAATTACCTTGTTTTTAATATTTTTGATATTTTAAATTGATATTTATATAGTGTTTGATGTGGTTTAATATGATTTTAATTAAAATTGAGTTTCTTATTAATGTTGTTATTATTGTTGTTGGATCATATATAGTTTCATTATGGATAACTTGATTTTTTTAAAGGCATAAAGACCTGGTAATACTCATTTTAAGCCATTATATATACTATCAATTTTTTTTAAATTATTCTTGAATATAACTTTATGTGTTTGTTGTTGTGGATGTTGTTGTTGTTGTCATTTAGATTAATAGGAAGAGGGGATAAAGCCCGGGAAACTCTCTTTTTTAAGTTGTTATGCTGTCGAAATTATTTCAATGGCTAGCATTAAAATATAATTATTAATTTTAAACAAGATTAAAGAGGGAATATGCAAACATGTGGTTAGTGACTTATTGACTAATTGATCTTTGTATCTAATTCTCCCACTATCTAGGAGTAGTCAAAGTCACTAATCATATTTCCCTCTTAATCTTTCTAGGAATTATAGATAAAGAATGGATGTCTGTCAATCGTCTATCCAAGGAATATTGGGATAGGGTGGCAAATTTTGTTAAGCTTGCAGTTAAGCATGCGGAGGATCCTACTAGGATTGTTTGCCCATGTTTAAAGTGTGGTCTTGTGAAGCGAGTTAGTCCAGATACTTGTGAAGAACACCTCGTGATTAATGGGATGGATCAAAGTTACAAGTGTTGGATAATGCATGGAGAGACAAGAGATGATATTGGTTGCAGCCAGAAGCATAGTGAAAGCTGTGCATCATCTCCTGATGATTTTGACACATGCACACTTGAGGAAGATTGTCTTGAACAGATGGCCAAAGCAATTGAAGAGGACCTCGAGGATTATCCAGAAATGTTTGAGAAGTTGAAAAGTGATGCGGAGACACCATTGTATGCTGGTTGTAGTGCATCAAAGTTGTCAGTAGTGTTAAAATTGTACAACATGAAGGCAAAACATGGATGGAGTGATGCAAGCTTTACTGAGTTGCTTGGGTATTTGAAAGTAGAATTACTTCCTAAGGAAAATAAGCTTCCTTATCGAATATATGACGCAAAACAAGTATTGCGATCAATTGGCATGAGTTATGAAAAGATACACTCGTGCCCTAATGATTGCCTTTTATTTCGGAATGAATATGCATCATTAATCGACTGTCCGAAGTGTAATGCCTCACGCTACAAGCAGAACGGATCAAGTCCCGTGAAGGCACTATAGTATTTTCCAATCGTGCCTAGATTTAGACGCATGTATAGCAGTGCAGAAATTGTGAAAAACTTAACATGGCATGCGAATGAAAGGATAAAAGATGGCATGCTTCGTCATCCTGCTGATTCTCTATAATAGAGAAAGATTGATTATGAGTACCCTGAATTTGGGGAAGAGAGTAGGAATCTATGCCTTGCATTATCTACCGATGGGATGAATCCTCATGGGATTCAAAGTAGTAGCCACAGCACTTGGCCAGTCATTTTGGTGATTTATAACCTTCCTCCATGGCTTTGCATGAAGCACAAGTATATGATGTTGTCCATGCTAATTGCGAGACCCAAGCAACCTGGGAATGACATAGACATATATTTGGCTCCTCTAATTAATGACTTGAAGATCATGTGGGAGTCAGGTATAGAGAAGAAAGATTTAATTTAAGAGCTATACTCTTCGATACAATCAATGACTTTCCTGCTTATGGCAATCTGTCAGGGTATAGCATTAAAGGGCAACTTGGATGCCCTATTTGTGAAGAGGAAACACATTCTATAAGGCTTCAACATGGGATGAAGAATGTTTACCTCGGCCACCGTAGGTTTTTACACCAAGAACATCATTATCGACGGTTGAGAAAAGCGTTCAATGGAAATCGAAAAGAAGGTAAGACACCTTTGCTGTTAACTGGTGATGAGTTGTTTGAGAAGATTAATTATTTGGATATTGAATTTGGCAAACCATTTGCAAGGCACCTTGGGACAACCGGATGGAAGAAGAGATCTATTTTCTTTGAACTCCCTTATTGGACCACCTTGGATGTTCGGCATTTTCTTGATGTCATGCATATTGAAAAAAATGTCTGTGAGAGTCTTATTGGGACTTTACTCCAAGTGTCAGGAAAAACAAAAGATGGCATAAAAGCAAGGTTGGACATGGTCTCTTTAGGAATAAGAGAAGAATTAGCACCCTAAGATAAGGGGAACCGTACCTTTCTCCCTCCGGCAGCTTATACGCTATCTAAGAAAGAGAAAACTGCATTTTGTGAGTTCCTTAATGTAGTTAAAGTTCTTGAGGGTTACTCTTCAAATATAAAAAATATTGTATCAATGAAAGATTTGAAGTTGAAGGGCTTAAAGTCTCACGATTGCCATGTTTTAATGGAGGATTTCATTCCAGTTGCTATACGTGCAATTTTACCCCTTAAAGTACGAGAGATGATCACTAAGTTATGTTTATTTTTTAAGTCCATTTGCAGTAAAGTGATTAACCCACATAAGTTGCCAAGGATGCAAGCTCGAATTGTATTAACATTGTGTGAGCTTGAGATGTATTTTCCACCGGCATTCTTTGATATTATGATCCACCTAACTGTTCACTTGGTTAGGGAGGTTCAAATGTGTGGGCCTGCTTATTCAAGATGGATGTATCCTATTGAGCGCTATATGAAGATTTTGAAAGGCTATGTGAAAAATCAAAGTCGACCGGAGGGTTGTATTGTTGAACGGTATATTTGTGAAGAGGCTGTTGACTTTTGCACTGAGTACCTGAGTCATATTAGCTATGTTAGGCTTCCAAAGTCTCGACATATGGGTAGAATAAGTGGAGAAGGGATCATGGGAAATAAAGTCATTACTATATCAAGTGTACAGCAAGCCCACTTATATGTATTGCACAACACTGAAGAGGTTGAAGAGTATGTAGACAAGCATATGGCTGAACTTAGGAGGGACAATCTCAATAAATCAGAAATTTGGTATGCTAGGGAACACAACAAAATTTTTACAAGATGGTTTAAGGAGCACATTCTTCAAAAGTTAAATGTTGATTCCAATTCAGTTTCTAACAAATTGAGATAGTTAGCTAACGGTCCAAGCAGACAGGCCATTTCTTACACTACTTACCTTATCAACGGATACACATTTTATACAAGGGACCAAGATGATAGGAGCACAATGCAAAATAGTGGTGTAACTCTTGTAGCTCATTCCATGCATATTTCTAGCACCAAGGATAAAAATCCTATCTATGCAAACATGTCATACTTTGGTGTAATTGAGCATATATGGGATTTAGATTACATATCCTTTCGAGTTTCAATCTTTGGGTGCAAGTGGATTGATCGAAAAAATGGCTTGAAATTTGATTACCAATTTGGCTTTGTACAAGTCAATTTAAACAAGGAAGGGTATAAGGATGAGCCTTTTATTTTAGCGCAACAGGCCAAACAAGTGTTTTATGTCCCTGACCTTGCTAATAAGAGGTGGTCTATTCTTATGTTACATGAAAAAATAAATGAAAATGTAGCAATTGAAGATGACCCATTCGAAGGGACATCAAATCAAAGTAACGACACTGTTGATGAAGCTCTATACATGAGAAATGATCACAATGAAG